AAATGATAATTACCTAATAAAATCATAGTAGTTTCTATGAAACTCTGAAGTTAAACTGTTGAAAAATTTCGTCAAGATCACGAAAATTTGCAAATTATTTTTAGTTAGAAATTGAAGAACATTTTTATATTTGTACCTAAGATTTAAAATATAATACAGTTTCCATATAAAATTTTCTGCGTTTATAAAAACAAGGTTAACTGGAAAGTCAAATACATTTTAATTTTTTTTAAGAATTTCAAGCTTAAATTTATATGACATTCACCCCGTAAATTAAAATTTTTTATTAAATCAATAAAAAATGTATACAATTTTTTTCTACAAGATTGTAGCCTATTGGTACCTATTCATATTTTTGAATGTAGCACATTATGATATTTTCAAATACAAATTACAGTGGTCCATCAGGAATTTCCATGGTTTCCCGGTCCACCACGGAGATAACACGCTTGAGTTTTAAGACTATATTGTCTACAGACTATAAGTGATTAGGTTTAGGTAGGATGGTAGGTGCAAAAATAATTAAGTACTTTATTTATAAGATTGTATCCGTGCCTTCTGTGGATACTAAAAGTTGAAAAGTCGTGAATTTATCGTTGGTATTGTTTAGATCATTCGGATTTTGGACGGTTAAGATTTTAAGTCTAAAAAACAAGATTCGTATATAAAATGTATATTATATAAAATGTTTATTTGTTTTTACTGCTTAACTTTTTATTCATATTTTGTATCCAAAAAGTGTCAATATACCTATGAATCCAATGTGTAATGTGTTCAGAAAGTTTTAAAATATTATTTTATTAATTACTTATTCAAATTAAATAATATTATTGATTTCTGTTCAAAAAAAAATAAAATATATTGATTAAATAATGTAAAAAGTTAACACACTAAATGATTATTTATTAAATATTAAAAAAATATTCTCTCTGAGGGCTAACAAAATAGGGGCAAAATAGATTTAATTTACGAACAAAAAAATAGATGGGATATTACAATACTCTTCTAATTTTTAATGTCAAGGTAAGTGTTATGTGTTATATGTATTGTATATTAATAAATGGGTTAATTCGCTGGGAGTTCATCTTTTGGAGGGATTGTGTTATGTACTATAATATATATAATGTGTGATGTAGTTAAACTTGGACAGACTTGACGTACTGTCATGGAATAAAAACGTATGTACCTGTGCGATCTCCATGACGTCGTTGTATGACTAAAATTAAATCAATACTTCGGACGTGCGCTGCAGCCCACAGTTCTCAGTACGTAGCGTACTGTTTTCTGATGTTTTTGTTTTGACCGTTCCCGACCCTCGAGCGCTTAATATTATGATACTCATTTAATAATGACCGAGTCGTGTAAATGGCTACTAACGGTGGCGAGGAAGGAAGTCTTTTTGATTTGGACACAGTGCGGTCATTACATAAGACAGTAATTGCTCTGAGAACTGCTCTTGAACGATCGAAAGCGGAACTCGAATTGGTCAAGAAATCTTGTGGCGCCATGGATGATAAAAAGGTATCCACAGACATTCGAAATTTTCGTGGATTATTTAATTAAATTCAATTAAATCCAATTTATTTTTTATGAGTTATATCAAATAATGCATTAAAGCTATGCCCCCTCAAAATATTATAGTTGATTAATTTAAAAGATGTGACAATTGAAAAATTGTGTTATAAAATAAAATTATAGGTGGCGATTTATTTATTTTATTGAAGTATAGGTATATAATATAGATTATTTATTTTTTSTCAGACCTAAGAGCTGTAGTTTAAACCAATTTTTGTTACAAGTCTCATTATTCAAGTATTTTGTTATCCCAATAAATAATTGTTTTATCATATTTTATATATATATAGATTGTGTGTCAAAACTCTGAAGAAACCGACGAGATTGAGTTAATATTTACAACAGATGACAATATGAATGTATCACCTAATGAAGATCTCGTATCTATAGATAATGTTTTGGAAACTGATATATCAAAGTGTGGAGCGAATTCCAAAGAAATGCCAAATTCTAAATATCTCAGTCCATTACGACCTATTTTAAAGGATATTACACTAAAAACTCAAGAAGTTGAAGCACAAACAGATATCACTGCTTTGCCTCTACAATGGCGTTCTGAAGGATTTCTAATTAATCAGGCAAAGACTACATCACCAAACACAACATTACCATCCAAATTTATTGTACCAGTTGACAAGAATACGCGTAAACAATGTTTGCGTGTATCTAAAAAAACTACTGAATCAAGAAGGGTCATGTTATCAGATATAAATTTTACAAGTATGGTGCCAGAATTGTCAAGGAGTGTTGATCATTTGTGTAGGCAACCAGGACCACTCACTCGTGAACCATCAAGATCAAAGTATAATACCTACAATACTATTTTAGTATTAAAGTACACTAATAATTATTATCTATCTTTGTACAGATTTCCACGAAGTCCTGGTTATTTTTCTGTTGGTTCATCATCTTCACGATATGATTTTGGTTCAGTATTTTCCGTGCATTCATCATGTTACCGATGTCAAGTAAGACCATCAGTTATGTCATTGGAAGCACGGCACAATGCATCATGGTCGTCAGTACCATCTTCTCCTACTAAATGCCGGCGATCTTTAAGTGTTCCATGTGAACCATGTGCATCATTACAAGATGTCAAGTACTCATCTACTGCCACATTAAAAGCAGAAGATGAAGTGCCGAAGAAAATCAAAAACAGAGTATCATTTAAAGGTCAGATTATTATTTATCGAAGTTATATAAAAATAATTATTTTAAAAATGATTTAGAATCAGGGAAAATGCGATTGTCAATGCCTGATTTAAGAAAATCAGAAGGAGACTCAACCGATTCACTTATAGAAGAATCTGAATGTGTTGTTCGTAATGCTATAGACTGTCTCATAACTGGATGTTCCACAAGTTTCAAGGAATGCAAAAAGCACAGACGTTATTCTGAACCGTATCACATGAACATAGGTTAGAACACAATTTTATTATTTATCTAAATTCAAGCAAATGTAATTATAAAAAATTTCTTTTTGATATTAAAATATTTTATTTTTAATAGGGCAGGGGGGAGGTTACACCCTACAATATATTTTATAAATAAATAACAATTTGAATGAAATTCAAATATGTGTACACAGTTCACATTAATTAAAAATAGGGTGTTCGTTCACTATGTGATCTACCTGTATAATTGGATTTAAAATGACGTGTTCTACCAATATAAGACTTAGGTATACAATATACATAGTGACAATAGTTATATTTATCATGCATGGGTCATGGAAATATATACTTACTCATTTTTATATTTTCATCATATAATTACTGGTGCTTACCTACTCTTAACTGTCATCCTACCTTATTCTATTTGCCATTAATATCAAAGACTATATGATGATAGTATAATTTAGAATATATCAAAAAAAGTAAATTTTCAAATATAACACCGTCATACATATAATAAATGTCTATATATATATGTTAACTTCTCCCGGGGAAATAACGTCAAAAATCTAGCCGCCAGACTGAGAATCGAACTCTGGTCTCTCGCTTGCCGGGCGATTACTCTACCACTAAGCTACCCGACTGCATAGACCCATGACGCTACATCCCCAAGTTAACAGATGTTTACATATATAAACAATAATTATATTTATTATTAACTAATGTAAACTACAATTTAATAATGTTAATAATCATACAAATATAGCAAGAATTCCAATATCAGCCAATACTTCTACATGTTATATTTAATAAAAAAAAAAGTAAATTGTCATATAGCTAGTCTGTGATAATAATGTTATTAGTTTATTACTTATCATGCACATTATCAACATTTATTAATTATTAGTATGTGTTAAGTGGTGTTTACTGGTGGTTAATTGTGTATAGCAAAATTAATGAAATATCAATAATAACATGGTAATAATTATAAGTATTTAATTCAAAAAAATTAGTTCTTAAATTTTAAGTAAAACATACAATTTAATCACAAAATAAAAAAACTAATTCCTACCATTATGTCATTATGATACATAGATATTCTAAAAAAAAAGTTAGCCATGAGTACTTCTTAGTACCTAATACAGCACTGTTTCAAACACAAGTAGATCACATGGTCTGGTAGGTCACCAACAGAACTATTACTAAAAACAATTTTTATTATTTAGAAAAACCCTTGTACTAAATTAGTGAAGAAAATAAATATGTATAATTTTAGACGGTTGTTCAATGAAAGTGCATGGCAAGCCATATTTACCAAAGTCCATTTATGATCTTCAATTGAATGCCTATGTCAAAGTTATTACTAGTTTTGGTAAAGTCGTTGGTGGGCGTCTGCGATATATAGGTCATGTAGCGACTATGACAGAGCCACTAGTAGGAGTACAATTTGATCAAAAGATTGGTGACTGTGATGGATCTTTGAATGGGATCAGATATTTTGAGTGGTAAGTTTAACTAAAGTTAAATTTTATTTTATTTTGTGATTGCTGATTTAATATATATTTTTATGTTTTCAGTGGAATCAATAATGGACAATTCGTCCCATTTCAAAAGATTGTTATGGCCTGGAGAGATATTTGAACATTTAACCAATATCGAATATTCATAGAAAAAATGTTATTTTATATAAAAAAAACAGTACAGTAAAACCTCCTTTAACGGACACCTCTCAATAGCGGACACCTCCAAATAACGGACGGAATTTTGGGAACGGTAAAATGTGTACTCACTATATTTCCCCTGTTAATAGTGGACGACGTTTAAGCGACTGAGAGTGTCCGGTATTTAGAGGTTTCACTGTATTATTCAATTAAATCTTGTTGTGAATTTACTATAATCAAAACATATTTATATTATTATTAGATAAATTTATTGTAAACATTAATTAATAATTATTATAACATTATGTTTGAAATTTAAAATACTTTATTAACACAAATACAAATAAAGTTCAGGTGATAAAAACAAACAATATTTTTGTTTTATCAATATTTTTGCAAGGCTAAGAAATCAAAATTTATAACATTCTAAATTCTAAAATTATTACCTTAATTTGCTTACATAAACAACTTGGAACTTATTAACACAAGCCCAATATTATTTTTCATTTAAGCTCGGCTTTCATAATATTTCGATTCTTTTTGTTTTCTAACAGCCTGTATACATTTAGCCATAGTTGGTGAAGATCTACTAATAGAATCGGTCATATAAAAGTCTTCTAAAGCAATCTGTTTAACATTTAAAGGTGTACTGATAGTCTGGGATGATAAATCCTACAACAAAAAATATTAATGTAATCAAATAGTTACATTGATTCACTATTAATACAATATAAATTACTTTAGCTAAATCTGATGCTTGAACTAAGTAATTTGCTTGTTCTAGGTCTCCATATCTAGTCATGCTTGGACAAACATCAGTTAAACGGTCACGCACCTCATTTAAAGTGTCGTAGGGAAGTTTTACACCCACAAACTGATGATCAGATCAAATCCATTAAATACATAAATTAAAATACATTATTGAACATGATAAAATCTTACTTCAGAAATTGCTCTTATAATTTTCCAGTCTGAACGTGCCATTCCTGGTGGCTGTACAGCCATCAATGTTTGTTGTGCACGACCTTCAGTGTTTACATAGGTAGCTTGTTTTTCTGTGTACGCAGCTCCTGGAAGAACAATATCGGCAATAGCTGCTCCAGCATCTCCGTGATGACCTACATGAGAAATAACTTAATTTAGAATTTTTTATTTTAAAAATAATAACTTATAATTTTTAAATAATATTTTCTTTAAAATGTATGTCATTGAATAGCAAAAAATGTTTAACATTGTTTCTTTAAGAAAAAACTTATACAATTTTTTATGGGTCCTATCAATTAAAATGAAAAAGGAATCAACAAGTGGTAATCACTTGTAACAATAATAACACAGACAACTTTTTTGTGTATAATATATATCATGTAACAAACAATACAATAATTAATTAAAATGGTTGAAATTTACTTAAAGCAATCTAACATCAAAATAAATATTGTGATTGTATTGCTAATCTACCTATATAAATTATGTATGTATTTTGTAATATTATTTATTAATTAAAAGTTTTAAGTACTAGAAACCTAATAAAATAAATAAATAAAAGTTTGGTGAGTTTAAATATAAATTTTATTTAGTTAAGTAATAAGTGATAGATATTCTGTGTATGTTGTGATTTATTTTATTTTATTTCATGATGATAAAAGTTTTTCACATAAATACAAGATATCATGATGATAAGAGATTTTCAATTAAATACAAGATATCACAAAAAATAATGCTATTAAAATTATATTTACCTTGATATATAACTGTAGTTCCAGCTGGCTTGCACTTAGTTAATGATTCATTGTCAGCTCCTAATAAATAAAGTACTTTGGCAGCAGGTAGATTATTATAAGGCTTAAAACCCAAGTCTAATGCAGCTACTTGTCCAGCAACTTGTTGCAATACATTAAGAATTTTCCATCCTTTTTCAGCCTAAATGTTATTATTTGTAAATAACTAATAATAATAATAAAATATTGAATATAAAAATTACATTTTTATTTAGTTCTTGAGAAAGTTGCTGGGCCTGAGCCAAAAGTATACCACCATCTTCTCGTTCAAATTGCTGGGCTCCTAAAATTATAACTGGACGCTTAGCTTTAGACAGCTTAGCATAGAATGCATGTCTTTTTTCTGCTAAATCCTTGAGTATTGCAGGGGATTCACCTAAATACTAATCATACAATTAGATAATGAGAAAAATATAATATAATGTTGTAAATATCTGTTAACTTGGGGATAATAGCGTAATGGGTCTACGCAATGAATAGCTTAGTGATAGAGCATTCGCCCAGCAAGGGAGAGACCTGGGTTCCATTCGGTGACTAGATTTTTTACGTTATGTCCCCGAGAAAAGTTAACAATATTAAAAACAAGCTTACCTCATAATCATAAGATAGGTCAACTTTAGGTCCTAATAATGCTATTTCTAGTTCATTATGAACATAAGATTTACGGATACGAGTGTTTAACAAAGGAGCTTCATATCGTGGGTTGGTTCCAATTAACAACACCAGGTCAGCTTGCTCCAATCCTAAAAATAAATATAAATTAAGTATATAAAATTAGCTTAAATATCATACATCATACCAGAAATGCTGCTATTTAATATATATGAAGATCTGAAGTCAGTACCAGAACCAGTCATTGGGAATGGTTCTTCTGTATATAATTCTTCACTTCCTAATCTGTTAAGCAAATCTTTCAATGCTATCATAGATTCAGCATCTGATAAACCACCACTCACACCCACAATCTAAAATAACAAGAATAAATCAAGTGTACATTTAACTATAATTTACTATTACATTTCCATTTGCATTAATTAATGCTCTAGATGTTTCTACTAATGCATCTTCCCATTCAACTGGTACTAAATTTCCTTTGTTGTCCTTAACTAATGGAGTGATCAATCTTTGGCGTTTAAGTCCATCATATGAGAAACGTGATTTATCTGATAGCCATTCTTCATTGATATCCTAAAATAACAAAATTATATGAAGCAATGAAATAATATTGGTATTGTTGTAAATTACTTCATTTAATCGTGGCAAAATTCTCATAACATCACCAGCTCTAGTGGAAACAACAATATTGCTTCCTAATGCATCCAAAACATCTACACTATCAGTTTTTCTAGTCTCCCAAGGACGTGCAGAGAATGAATATGGTTTACTGGTTAATGCTCCAACCGGACACAAATCTATTACATTACCACTGAGTTCAGACAAGAACATTTTCTCTATATAAGTTCCGACCTAAGTAATAAAAATAAATAAACAAATGGTTTAAAAATATTGAATCAGATTCAAGCAACATATAAGTAATAATAAATATCTGAAGATAGTGTACCTGCATATCTGAACCTCGACCAGTTGTTCCTAGATCATCAACACCAGCTACTTCTGATGCAAAGCGAATACATCTGGTACAGTGTATACAACGTGTCATAATAGTTTTAACAAGTGGTCCAATATCTTTATCTTCAACAGCCCTGAAAATTATTTATTATTAAAATCTATTTAATTAAGTTTAAAATAATGAAATACCTTTTGCCACTAAAATCTATATCAACAAAACGGGATCTATCACTGCCAAATGCCATACTCTGATCTTGTAAATCACATTCACCTCCCTGATCACAAATAGGACAATCAAGAGGGTGGTTCATCAATAAAAATTCCATAACACCTTCACGAGCTTTGCGGGTCAATTCAGAGTTTGTTTTAATTTTCCATCCATTCATCACTGGCATAGCACATGCAGCAACTGGCTACATTAAATAATTATAAGATAAGTTATTGTTTATTAAACATATAGTACAATAGTTGAACATACCTTAGGCGACCTCTCAACTTCAACCAAACACATCCTACAGTTGCCAGCTACAGCTAAACGTTCATGATAACAGAAACGTGGAATTTCTACACCAGCAAGGGCAGCAGCCTACACAACCAGATTTGTTAAATCTTTTCATTTTTAAATAATTTTTCAAATAATTTTTACTTGTAATACTGTGGTTCCAGGATCTACAAGGACTTTTTTATCATCTATGAATACTTCAAGCTTGGATGGTGGAGCCGGTGTATTAGAATTTAGTCGAAATTGCCCAGGTGTGACTACCAAACGAATACAAGGCACAGTACGCTGAAGTGTTGTCCGAAACATTTTAATGAATGGTATCTAACAAACAGTTTAAAAAAAATTTAAATAAGTGTCCAATTTTACTTTACATAAAATAATAATTATGCACTTTTGCACAAATAATATGTGTAGTATATACTAACTATAATAATATGTCTTTAATAATATAATATTATAATATCATCAGCWTATAATATGGAGAAATAAAATAATTTGATAGAACATAGAAACCAAACCAAGTTCAAATGATAATAATCATATGATATTTTGATACCATTTTATACCAAACTATAATACATTGACCGCAGTTGAAGATAAACTGGTTACGAAACACCATGATCTAAAATGGATAATGCATGTACCTATAATTTAAGTCCACGGTTTTAGCATAGAAGACCGTGTATATCACGTACAGATATAATTTTGACTGGAGATGAAATGGTGACCAATGAGTCGTGGGTTACGGCCTGAAAAAGGATCTTTTGATTCTTTTGTATCAATGAATCATTATCATCAACTATCAACACCATCACAAACTATATTTTACTCCGTAGTCGTGACACTGTACAGTGTACACAGTGGCGTCATTTCAGGTTTTGAAAAGGGGGGGGGCAAAAATTTTGACCGGCCCATAGGCCATAATTAAAAAAAAAACCACTCGCTAACAATTACATTTTTATCTCAGTACAAACAGTCTTCTTACATCTTACACAATTAATAATTATATACATACTAGTTAGTTATCTGTGATAACTGTGGTTACTTTAGGCATAAATAACACTTTTTTTTTTTTGAAAGATAACAATGACTAATTAATACATAGGTATATTATAAAATATAATATGTAGAGGGATACCCCAGTGTTTCTCAACCTGGGGGTCGCCAACTTATTATTTAGGGTCGCAATCGAATGATTTAAATCAATGCGAAAATTAAAAGCTCAAATAATAAAAAAATAAAATATATTTATCTAATAAAATGAAATATTTAATGTACGTTTTTTTAAATTTTAAATAAATATAATATTATAATATGTATCTTTT